TCTCACTATGACAACGTCGATCACATGCCGGATTCACCGGGGTTGCAGGGGCATGGGCCGAGGTCCTGTTCACACAATCCAATCGTCACACGCCCAAGGCAACCCTCCTTCAGTATCAGGCGCGGTCAATTTAAAAATCCATTTCATCCACCTTTCACAGTATGCAACTGTATGAAAATGGTTTGGAAGGTACGCCAGCGTTGTTGTCTCAATGGAGCTTCTCTTCATACGCTGGTACCATTCGTCGAGTTGTTCATTGGTTGGTCATTTTAGCGCAGGTTGTTTGCTCCCAGCAGAGCATGGTTAAAGCGCACGTAACATAAAACTCTCCAAGTCAACTTTCCCCCAGCACACACACATACACACACACACACACACAAACGTACAGGCCTCAAGACAGTCACACGATCGCGACTGCTCATCCTTGGCTCGCGGAGCGGTCTCTGTTTAGGACACTTTTCTCTTTTTCCCACCATTCTCGGTTAACGCTCGTTTGCGTCAGTCTGTGAGAGTTCTTCTGCCTGCCGGACGATCGTCTTGTGTGCTGCCGACTCTATCACTCAGCTGTTGTCTACCCCCACAGGTCAGTTGCTATGCTGCTAAAGGGTTTCTGACGGACATGCGGCACAGATTTGGAGCGTGTCGTTGGGCGGCTGCGAACTTGTGACTTTCCCACGCCCGCAGGGCTACTCCATTCGTCACAGAGATTGTGGAGATTGCCGAGGCCTAACTGTCCTCTTTCAGAGGAACAAGGCTGAACCAAAGATCCACACTTTCACACCAAGCCCACGTCACGAAGTCATGCAACTCACATCGGCCTCGCCGTTGACCAATACGGATTCGTGGCAGACACCATGTTCGACTTTGGCTCCGAGCCATTAACGGCATCACCACAACCGCGTCCGAAGTTTGCATAGTCGCGTGGCATGCATGCATTGGTCAAGTATTCTGCAAACAAACATGCTTGGAAGGGTCCGTCTCAGCCAAAAGGCTTTGACCACCCAGCAGATCACCAATGCCGAGGGTTCGTGGTTTTGTGTTTCTGGTTACGGGTTCCTCTGGGACTGGAGGCGTGTGGAACTGTTGGGTGGTATTGAGAGAAGAAACAAGCCTTCATTTAATCGGTTCGTGGTTACGCCAACTTTCAGCTCGTTGCAACACCGTTTGATGGTGTGATTTGGCTCATCATTCCAAAGTATGCTCGAGAAGTCGCCTGGTTTAGGATCGCTGGGCTCACTTTCATTTTGAGTGAAAGAGTGCGATAAAGGGATTTGAAGGTCTATGCAAGTGGAAGAACATTCTGGAACCTTCGATTAGGGTGAAAATGCGCTAGGCTCC